CGATTATCAAACCCACTAGAAGATCAGCCAGAGCTAACGAGCTCAACAGCAGGTTTGATAAAGTTCTGACGTTGCGGGCTTTGTAGATGACCCAAAGAAAAACTGCGTTTCCAAGGAGGGATGGTAGCGCGATAATACCGTACAGCAAGGCTAGAATAACTGATGCTGGGAAAGCCAACTCGCCGCTGCAGTTATTCGCCATCGTTCAAGTTTGCTTTGAGTTTTGACTGTTACTTTATTATCTACTCATTGACGAGTGTTTCGATGTCTGTTGTCACCTGTCAAATGCTCCAAAGGATCGTGGGAGTTAGAGAGCTTTAGCATTTTGCATGTCAGTACCACCTGAGGTTTCCGTCGACTAACTCGCTGCGCAATAAAAGTTCTTCAAACGACATATGTGTTGGGTAACTTCTTTTGCTACCTTGAGCGCTAAAATCCAAAACAAAAAAAAGACAATCTCTATGTAACTGAATCAAACATCGGAAAAGGAGAACAAACAAAGAGCATCACAAGGAAGAAGAGGAACTTTTAAACGTCAGTCAGTTGCGTCACGTCAGCTATCATGCTCTACTCGATAAGGTAAATGTATCTCTGTGTCACGATAACAGAGCTGTCTTATCAGATGTCTAAAAGCAGGCTAGCAGCTGCTCTTAGACTACGTTTCCCAGTAGAAATCCTCTAAGTTTCCAAGCAGGAAAAGTGCCACACATTTTCACATTTTAAGTTTCAAGTGAGAATCCTCACGGATAGACTTTTATTATGATTTTGCATTTTTGGTACTCCAGCTTATTGTATTAAGGATAAAAAGTTCACTTGATAGTTCCATTAGACTCTTTCAACTAGACAAGGTTTTTCCGCGATAATGCCGAAGAGCCCAAAAAGGCGCAAAATACTGTTTGTTCACAAGCAGACCACTCTATGTGTTCGTGGTTAATAATTGCTTATATGAAACGAACAGAATCTATGAGGGTTATGAATAAGGCTCTGAAGATTGCATATCTAAATTACATCTCCGTCTGAATATCCCAATAAAGTTAAATGAAACGTTTATCGACTCTTGTGATGTTTTTTTCGCCTTCCCAGGCCGTCTGAAACGTCTTTTTACGAAGTTACGATGTCTCCCTCTCTTGTCTTACCGGTCAGCCAAAAATGATTTCGTAAAAAGACGCTTCAGACGGCCTGGGAAGGCGAAAAAACATCACACGAGTCGATAAACGTTTCATTTAACTTTATTGGGATATTCAGACCGAGATGTAATTTAGATATGCACTTTTCAGAGCCTTCTTAGATTCTGTTCGTTGCATATAAACAATTATTAACCACGAACACATCGAGTGGTCTGCCTGTGGTTTGTTCGGTAAAAACCGGAATTCGAAGTCAAGACTTTTCGGTAAATTTATGAACTGTAGACTTCAATATCAGTAAAAGATTCTGTTAGCTATGCTAAGAAGTTGTCCGTTGCGCTTTTAAGTTTCCTATACATTTCTCCGTGATAGTCTGTTTACAGCAGTTTCTTAGCTTTTTTCATACAGATTCGGTATTTTCCTTTTCAACACGCCATGTTTGCACCCCGACAATACAACAGAAAAACCTTAAAAAGATTTATTGATTTAAAAGACCTGATATTTATCGCGTCAAGTTTTTATAAGTTTCGCTGTAAAAGGAAAATTAAAGAACCGTCCTACATTTTACACCTTTCCGTTGGGTAATGGAAATATAAACGAAGCATACTTCAAGCCAGGTACGAAAAGTTCCATAAAATTATGACAAAAGCATTCATTTTTTCCCGCAACAGTTATTCTCGGTTGTTTGCGTTTTGACGATTGATCAACAACTTGGCGTGAGAATCGTCATCGCCGCCACAGCTTCTCCGTTCCTAATCACGTTTCATTATCAATATATTCGATTTACTGAGTGACAGACAGACAGGTATTTGCTTGATTAATTAATTGGTTCTGTCTTTTTTTCAGCGTGATTCGTCATAAGCCCAGAGTAATACTGAACGTGGCTCATTCTCTCATAAGCCATCTTTCTCCTTTCCTGAGACAAATCGACTATGCCCTAGATTGGATGCATGTGGAAGCCGGCAGAGCAGTTTACAGGTACAAGAAATAACAGACTTCCTTTAAAACTGCGGCTGAAACATTTGCACGTTCAAAGCACCGTATTTTAAGAACGTGATATGCAACCCACTCGACCACATCTCATAAGTAAAACCTAAAAACAGTTGCCAATAAATTTTGACTCATTGCAGACTCACTTTTGCTTCCCAAGAAAATGACTGCACCGTTTGAGTTAGAAAACAGGCGAAAACCCAGCTGTTCTGTTTCTTCTCCGTCTCTTGTTAAATTTCAGACAAGGCGAACAGTCCAATTGTATTTACATCGTGCTGAATGGCCGTCTTCGTTCAGTTGTTACACTCAGCGATGGCAAAAAGGAACTCGATCGCGAGGCTGGCCGTGGAGAACTGGTGGGAGTGGTGAGTGTTTGTATTCTCACGTCACGTGACTGATTTGTCCGCTTTGATGCTTTGATGCAGTCCGTGATAAATTATCGTTCCCAAAAGTAAGTTCCTGTTACCAGACACATGCAAACAGAAGCGAAGGCCTTAAGGGAGGAGTTTGATGTGTTGCCATCATGGCTGCCTCTTTAACATGGACGTATATCGACGTATATCTATATTGCACTGTTGGTGACAATTTTATTTCGGGCATTTGTCTGTTGTCAATTACCTTTTGGCTGTTTTTCAGTTGTCGGGTAATCCCAACTATCCCAATTAAAATGAAGACCAAAATAAGAGTATAAACCAAGCAGCTGTCAGTATCAAACCGTAGTCTCAAGGTCTCAAGGTTAATGTTCTTGCGAATCAGACAATGACCAATAGTTTAGACTCAAATTCAGACTTAGGACGTGTGGTTTTTCATGAAATCGTTTTCTGTATTGTCTGTGACTGAGATTTCGTTCTTCTAATCTTGTGCTTGTTTTCGTCTTTTCAGGTTGAAGTCCTTACACAAGCTCCAAGGGCGACGACTGTTCACGCCATTCGGTTTGTTTGAAATCTTGTTTTCTAATGACTACCTCGAAACTAAGTCCAACGTAGTCACAAAGCTAGTAACTAAGTCGAAGTCTAAAGTCGGTGGCAAAAAGGCAATGTTGCACCCAGTTTTAGAATTAGAAACTGAGTCGGGGAAGCAAGCTCGCGCGCGTTTGGTCGAAATATCACGATCTCTGCACTGGTTGGTAAGAGTACGTTGAAAGAGATTTTGATGCAAATACAGCGTATAAGTAACAACGCAATACTTCATTAAGGAAGCGCTGTACTGTTGATAGTTTTGTTTGACTCTGAGCGTGTTGAAAGCATAGCATTCTTTTCATACTTAGGGACACCGAACTTGCGGTTCTTCCGGATGGTCTGCTAAATACAATCAAGAGACATTTTCCTCAGGTAAATTTTCTGGTCCACGTCTTAATCGGTAAAGTGGTATAGAATTCTTTCACGGAGCAAGATGACGATTTCGTAAGTAATAGTTCTAGCTTCCAAATCAAGTTTTGTTATGATATTGGTCTCAAAGGTTTGTTTATTTTGATTTCAACAGGTTGTCACCCGTTTAATTCATCTGCTCGGTGAAAGGCTACTGGGACAGTACAGAAGAAGTTACGCAAGAAGCGAAACATTACTGGGTATTAAGATTAAGTGTTTTACCTTTCACTTGCGCATGTCACTCTTAAGGAGTGGGGTCCACGTTTCGTGTAACTCCATAAGAGAAGACAGACAGAGAGATTCGTCTCGACATCCATACTGCTATCCTTTCTTGTCTCGTTTCGTTCGCTGCCGTTGTGGTCGAAAGTAATTTTTTAAACGGTTCTTGCTCTTTCTCCTTCTAGTATCACGCTTTCAACTTACACGTCATTTTATTTTTAATATGTAGAAAATCACCTACCAGTTGATAATCAGATATTTGGGGGCTCAAATCTCGGGACAGTAGCTATTATTCCCGCCTCAGAGGATGTGCCTATCTCCAACTTCTCATTTGAACTCAGCTTAGCACTTCACACTATCGGTAAGTCGCATGTACTGTCTTACATGATACACACAACTGTTCACTGAGCCTGATTCAGTCCACGGATGAGACGAGCTGATTGTGTTTTTGTCCGAGCCTTGTCCTTGCTCATCCGTTGTTTTTGTATCGCGTCAAGTAAGATTTCCATGTTTTCTTGGCTGTTGAAACTAAGGCATTCTTGTTACAAAGGATGTGCAAATTGAACATAGTTTCACATTGAGTCTCGTCTCACTTAGCGAAGAAATGCATTGTAGAGAAACCATTAAAATCATTCATTGAAGCTATTCTCCTCTTTTAGTAAAACCTGGTAGTCTACAGGTTATTGTGTCTTATCAGTTATAGTTGTGCTTTGTCAGATATGTTGATTGTGCCTGTTCTTGGTTCCCAGGTCCCACCCTCTTGCTGACCAGCCAGTTAGTTCGAAGCAAGCTTGGTAGCTCCGCAATGGACAGGTGTCTAACTGCCGTTTTGTTTGTATTTCCGTATACCGCAAAACGAGTCAAAATAATTGTACAATGTTTTTTCCTTTGATTACAATTTATCCCAGTTGCTTGGTATTCAGCAATGTCTGTGAAGTTAATATCTTTAGCTTTTGATGACGTACTCACTTTTCCATAGCCACGATGGCGGCTTTCGCTGTGTTTAACGCTAATAATAAGTTTTTTTCTCGTGCCTATTTCATATTGCAACGTTCTCCCTTTACCGTTTACACACTTTGACTTGTGTTCTCCCTACGTTGTGCTCTACATCAGTGTCTGTTGAAGTTATTAATTTCAATATTTTTTTTCCAAGCATGAACGAATATCGCCTGTCGAGCTGGCTTGGACAACAAGAAGATCTTCACCGCATCGTGTTGTATCAGGCTGATGCTTTCATGTCTGCTTGGACGAAACGGTGTATTAGACAGGTGTGAATATTTTGATTTCTGCGGCGTGATTGGCAATGATTTGCTCAGGTTTATATATGTATTTGTTTTCGGAACGTTTCTGTTTGTTGTAGATAAAAGTTCAAGGTATTCATGCGCGGTCATTGGTTACTGTCTAAATGGCTTACTTCACCCTTGCCATGCTTGCCAGAGTAACTGTTTCTCCCTTTCGCGCTTCTTAACTACGTTTAACTTAACAAGTACGAGCGCAGCGTTCTTTATCTTTAGGTTAAAGATCAGCGTCGGGTATCCGGCAGATAACTAGTCGAAAGTGGAACATATTGTATTTCTTTGAGTTCGATTACCCAAATGGTTTGCGACTTACGTTACGTTCGGTTGAAACTGAGGCTCCCACCACTTGTCGTTGAATACACTAAGATTGTTACCCTCTCTCTCCCTTACAGGCGGACAGCATTGTCATTGTCGGTGTAGCAGATGGCAGTCCAGCAGTCGGTCAGGTATATTTGACGTATTCCTTTATTTTATTTATTTTTGGTTTTTGGTAGTTTGATGGTACTTTGATTGTACTTTGATTTTGATCGGAGCCTTGTCGAAATTATTATTCATACGACTATAACTGCAAACTTTACCCACATTTTTTCTCCGATCATCCATCACCCAGTTTAGCCAAATCCATATTGTAAACACATATCCATGTGTAAACACATCTTCATATTATTTGTATCCTGTACTCAGTAGTAACTTTTTCGTTATTTGTTACAGTTGGAAAAGCAGCTTGAAAACATTGGCGTTCGTTCCCAGAAGGAGCTCATTCTCCTACATCGCGAAGACGCCGCCAAGGGTTTCCGCATTACACACACTGTGGATTGGCTTAACGCGCGGGGCTGGATCTGCGCACATCATCATGTAAGATTACATTTTATACAGTCACTAAACGAGTGTGATTGATTCTTGCGAATGAACCCCTATAATTATTGCCAGGCACAAGTTCAATCGGTCTCGTATCTCCAAGGGCCCTGGGCGTTTATCGTATTACCTCGTTCATCAGCGAAATTATAAAATTTTTATGCTGTTGCTTTTCAAAACAGTTCTACATTTCGCGTAAATCTGTGGAATCATTGTAGAGCTTAAGCACAGACGTTTTTGAACCACGGACGTCAATCGGAAGTCGAAACTTCTCCTCTTCGACGCGTATTACTTCCTTTTCGTTGAAAATGTCAAGTTGTAAATGCTGAAATGAGAGCCTTGTAGTCTTGGTTGTAGCGAAATTCCAGATAAAATGTTAATCTTCTACGCAAATAAAATTATTTTGATTTCAAATCGAAATACAAAACAGTATTCGTATTGAACTGCATTTCCGTTTGGTTTTATTATCAAGTCGTATGGTAATAATTTTCTATCGCACAGACAGGGTATACGTAGTCAAACGCCTTCATGTATTTATGTCTGCAGTGTCTGCTATGGAGAGAATATTCCGCCATCAACTAGGACCGCGTTGTTCGAAAGCCGGCTAACGCTTACCCAGGATTAAAAGTAAACCAAAGTGTTAATTTTTCTTGTATGAAAATGTTTTTCACTGCGTATGTTTTGTGTAGATTGAGATTATTCAAACTCAGAACTGAAGGGCAAACAATGTAAACAGGAAACGTCACCAAAACGTTACAAAACTCAAATCAAAATTCTCGCTAATCTTGGGTTAGCTTAATCAGGCCGGCTTTGCACAACCCGGCCCAGGTTTCCAAGCACGACGAGAGAGAGATCACTTATCTTATATGTCTTTGTTTTTTGTACTTTATTTAAGGTTCGATGCTCTAAGAAAATTTTTGGAAGGCGTCCTCTGTCTGAAAAGGTGGGAAGTATGAAATGATGGTTTCGCAATTTCCTTTCTATAAAAGTTTGCCTGAACGTCGAAAGGATGGAGTTATAGTAAGTTGCTTTCGAGTTGTCTTGTATGTGTGAGTGTGATGGATGTCTTTTCGTTCAATTTTTTAGTACTCACAAGATCCTGCAGCCTATCCTTTACCAGACAAGTGAGTTAAGTCTCTGACACTATTTTCATGTTAAAGTTATAAACCTGTTCTTTTTTTGTATGGGGTGAACGTCTCTTTCCCGGGAGTTAATACATGTTCTACGGTGGTTTCTTTCAGAAAATCCGACTTTTTACGTCTTGCTCGAAGACTTACGGGCACGTCTATTGGATTGATTCTCGGAGGAGGCGGGGCCAGGTAAATATCTGATTTGCCTACTGCCTACTGTTTTTGGTGCTTTTTTTAACATCCCATATCTCACATTGTTGTTTTTCGATTAGACTGTCCGGCCGGTAGTGTTTATGGTATTTGTTACTTTTAGGGGATTATCTCATTGCGGAGTCATCAAAGCACTGGAAGAAGCAGGTCAGTCTTTCAGTCTTCGAACAAACAGACTACAGGTCTCAACGATGTTCATAAACACGGCGGGCCAAAGAAAATAAGCGTTCTAGAGAGCCCGAGTTCTGTCGCACTTTTTTCTCGCTATCCTCTTCTGTGCGTTGTATAGAGGTTTCGCACGGCAGCCATGTTACATGGCAGGAACAACAGAGTCTTTTTCCTATGGGAAAAAAAAAAAGTTTTTTCTAATGCAGAACATTTTCATTGTTCCTGCCATGCAACATGGCTGCCGTGCAAAACCTCTATTTCGGAAAAAAAAAAGAAACACGAACTACTCTTGTAGTTACATGAAGAGCACTTGAGTTATCCTGCGTAGCAAACTTTCCCGCACTTAGAGCTTTTTCCGCATTTTGGCCGCACGGAACGAGCTTGCCCCTCACCCCCTACTTCGTCGATTTTTTCAGTGCTCTCACCTCAATTTTCGCGCGGTCAGAATACGGAGAAAGCTCTTTGTCCGGGGAGGCCCGCTATGCAGGCTACACTTGAGTCTCCACGGGCAAATTCTCAGGCAAACCATGAGAAACTTGTAAACTGATTTTCCATGACAGTGAACGCGTGGTAATCGTTTGGTTACAGGTATTCCTGTTGATATGGTCGGCGGTACAAGTATGGGGTCCTTTGTTGGTGCAGCGTACGCTGAGTCAGCTGACGTCAACAAAATGTGTCAGAAGGTCCGCGAGTGGTCACTGGTAAGAGCTAGTCGTACGAGTTAAGTTACGTTAAGTACTTTTGTGTAAGTTCTATTATCTGTCCGTAAGCGAAGTTCACTCTGTACTGGTGTTTTATTGCCTAAAGACCAAGGGGATTGTTATCTTACGTTTGGCGCAGCAAAGAGATTAAAAACTAGCCTGTGAACAGGCTCTCTAGTCGAGGATGGGGCGAAGAGAAAGCGGGGAGAGAAAGAGGAGGGGCGATTCTTCCCACGGCCACTTCACTCTCAGCCAGTTCCTTCTTGGCGCTTCCAGCCGTGGTCAGACCCTTTTAGCTGGAACCTGTTCACAGTCGAATTAATAACGAGATTTCTAAAAGCACTGAGGGTCGCTCGAATTCCTGTTCCCGAGAGTTGATGGATACCGCAGTGTTCACCAAGCATGTTGCTAAGTGACATGACGTGGCTGATGACGTCAACTGTCGCATCAACTTTCAGATTGCTAACGCTTGTTCCGATTGATTCTGAAATTTTTCTGATACTTCAACTATAATTTGTCGAAAATGGGCCTTATTTCAAACCGACTGAAGGTCTCTTTGTCGCTTGTAGGACATGACGTCACTCTTCAAGAAGATCCTGGATCTGACTTATCCATTCACCTCCATGTTTTCAGGTGAGATTGTTTTTGTAATTCATGAACTCAGTTTGTTATAATCAATACACTCTCTGACGTGAAATCTGTTGTCTTCTCCTTTTACCCAGGAAGTGGCTTTAACGCCAGCATAAGAAGCACATTTGGAGAGCGACAGATAGAGGTACATTATGCGTGCTCCAGTATTCCATTACTAATGAATTAACATTAGTGCTAATTGATGACAGACATACGAATGGACACGCGTTCGTTTTACCAAGAGTGCTTGTATCAAACGTGAAACTAGAATACTGTTTGTGAATCACGATATACGAAATTGTTTTCAAATCGAAGGAAATTTGAACGGTAGAAAAACACCAAAGAAAAGAACAGAAGTCGTACAGGATCACAGAGATTGGCGGTTGGTGCAGTGTTATTACCAGTGTTATTAACCCTGCGATGGACTAGCATCCCATCCAGGGGGGAGTAGAAATACTCCTAGTCGCTTCATGCTACAGAAACCGGGATAAGCTCCGGCCTGGTGGGCCACTTGGCTCGTATGCAGACTTTACCTTACTTTCTTTACCTGCAGTGTTATTACCAGGTCCTGCAGTTGATTGAAGTGTTTTTTTTTTCCTCGTCCAGGATCTCTTGTTGCCTTACTTTTGCATCACGACAGACATTACGTCATCAAGAATGAGAGTACATACAGACGGTATGTAGTGTTTTCACTCGTTTAACTCAAACCACGTAGGCAGATTTCATCACTTTCTATGTCACAAGATTACTTGAAAAGCATTTAACACTATACGAAGCTGGGTAGGCTCTTTGAAAATCGAGCGATTCTACCATAGTTTGACGTTTGCCAATTGGGATGACACCTATTATTTGTCCGGGCTCTATTTGAGGTACGTTTACTCCCGCCTTAGTTGAAATGGTCAGTGGCTGTTAATAGTGTAAACTTCAGAAGTGGCCCTTTAATGCAAAGAGAAAAGGAAACAAACAATGCGGCATTTTAATGTTTTGCCCTATGCTTAATAGTCCTAGCGTCTCTTGTTTCCTTTTGAAATTGCTGCTCTTGAAGTACTTGTCACATTTGAAAGATCATGCACCATGTCATAAGAAAAATTTGTGCCAGACACAAGTAGCACCAGCGGGACTAACACGTGATCTCCCTTACAGGCTGCTTATGGCGGTATGTCCGTGCTAGTATGTCTCTGTCGGGATATCTACCTCCACTGTGTGACCCCAAGGACGGACATCTGTTATTGGACGGTGGATACGTCAATAATTTACCTGGTGAGTAAAGGTTATCATCTATAGTTACCTTCTGTGAATACACTGGGGTTAATTGTTAGTCTAAGCTATACTTCTCAGCATGAGAGATCAGTCGTTATAGCTCAAATGGAATACTTTTCCTATTAAATTAGTTGGTAATATTGGAAGCGTCAATATGTGAATTCTTCGTTCGTGTTCCTATACATTTCATAAAGGACTTTTTTTAGGAAGGTTTTGCTACATTGTAGAATGAGAAAAAGCGAAGTCTTGAAAGTTTATCAACAATTTTCCTTGTATTCTGCTCTTCATAAAGTATTTTAATCACTATATTCGTCTTTTTTAACATTCTGTGGTTTATTTTTCAGCGGACGTGATGAAGACCATGGGCGCTCAGACAATCATAGCAATCGATGTAGGATCGGAAGATCCCGCCGACCTCACGAACTATGGCGACCAGTTGTCGGGCTGGTGGCTACTGTGGAACAAATGGAATCCTTTTGCCGAAACCGTCAAGGTACGAAGCAGTTTTATAAAGCGCATTGCACAGTAGCTATCCATACCATAAACCCTTCAGTCTTTTCCGTAGAGAGTGCGTGAAGACTAGTAGATGTCGGTGTTAACCTCCTCAAAAGTCCCATCAACATATCCCGAGCAAACTTCAGATATAAGCTTGCTTCTGCTATAAATTTCCCGTTCATGAACCCCTCAAAGCCCCCATTGATCAATGATGTTTTAGCTTAGAGTTTAAATGTCAAACAGGAGTTCACGATATGTGATTCAGGTTGAACTCGTTGAAACGTTCTCTATGTTTGTTTTTCAGGTAAGTGGTAGTCAGACATAAGAATAAATGAGTTGAAAATTGTGTCTCTGTACCATGGCATTAATTGAAGAACAAGACAACACAAACATTCTTTTCTAATTTTAAGATTCCTGACATGGCAGAAATCCAGTCTCGTCTGGCCTATGTGTCGTGTGTGAGGCAACTGGCTGAAGTAAAAGAGAGCAGTTACTGTGAATACATTAGACCGCCAATCGACAGGTTTGTTATCACAAGTTTATGTATAGGTTCATTCTGCGATCTGCGCGTCAGTGTCGCTTGCATTTTCATAATAAACAGTCGCAGCTAAGATATAGAGCATTCCTAAGACTGATCAGAATTGTGCGGATGACATGCACTGCAAAAGATTTCTTGTTCTTCACTTGCGCTGTCACGACCTCGGGCGTTTGGGAGGGACATGATATTTAAAGTTGGTAAAATAGAACCATGCTATTTCAGTATTTTAAGCAACTGTTTACATCATAGATTAGTATCGAACAATGAAATGGCTTCTTTATCGACAGGTTCAAGACATTAGAGTTTGGTCGCTTTGATGAGATAGTGGTAAGTCAAGGGTATTCCGGCATGTATTTTCATATTATATCGTGTAAGCGTAGTACTATTTGTACTATTTGTTGTTTACAGACAGTGCTGTATGACAAGAACGTGTTTATTATGACTATTGTTTTAAAAACCATAAGATTTCCTGTTGTTTTCCTTGAAATCTCTTTGTAACCTATCAAAACGGTCTAACACCAGTCGTAAAAATGGAGAGGTTTACAATGACTTTTATGACAAACGAAAGCAATTAAAATTTTGCCGTTTACAGCTATTTGTAAACTAAAGAGAGAATATTTTTTATTTGCTGCGAATTCAATAGGATTTTATTTTTTCTATTTTTGTGTTGGATTGATTTAAGGCCGGAAAACAAGACAAAATCTGTGGCAATTTTTGCAGCTTGCGGTGAACGTCTTTCTTAATTACCGTAAATCCTCGAATTAGCC